AAGTACTTCGCTGTGCAGTGTGGTGTTCAAATAATCACAGGAATGAGAGTAATTCAGTTTTAGCAGGATTTTCTCTTCTATGGTTGACGAGAAGTTATAATAGAACTACGTTATTAATTTGGCAGTGCCTGGCATTTCCGCTCGATTTCACTAGATTACATTTGAGTGCATAGTTCCGTGTAAGACAGGTGGCCAAAGATTAATAGCAAGTTTGGCATGGTCAACTTTTCGATACTTTTGAGCTAGATGACTTGTTTTGTCAGAAATTCTTTGTGCTTTTCAATGCAAACAATGACTGAGTAAATAAACGTCTAATAAATATCTAGAAATAGGAATAGTGAGTCCGTATCAATGGTGGCCTCGGGACTTAATAACATGTTGCCGAATTACAGTAAGCCTCATAAAACTGAATTTTTTCTGTCACAAAATCTGCACATAGGGAAAATCACATTAAGTCACAATGCTCAAAGTTTGACAGTACATGTCATTTGAAGCAAGATATGGGACGGAGAGAGCCCCCCCCCGCCTTGGTGTTGGTCATTGTTTGATCGGAATCTCAGGAATTCTTGACAGACTTCTAGGGGGCGTGTTAGGTAACAATAGGCTAGAGTGTGTACAGGAATTGGACAGGTAAGGGGGGGTTACCCCTCCGTCCCATATCTTGCCTGGTATAGTACATATATATTATAATGAATAAAGCGCTAAAAACAGGAAAACCTTTGTAGTGTGTACATAAACTAGGTCAAATTTGTTAATTCGGCATAAACAGTCGGTTCCTCCTTAGGAATTGGCTTCGTGTTGTCAATGTCTGGAGGGTTAGCTAAATCCAGTTCTGCGTAAACTAGTCCGTCTTCCTTAGATGCGATATCTGCAGCACGAGCACCATTTCGGTGGACAGCAGCGTAATGCGCAGGCTCCGTGTCCTCCTTGGGATCCCTAAGTTTGTTGACGGCAGCGTAGTGAGCCGGTTCGGTGTCTTCGTCCTTTCTCTTACGGTCTTTGTGGACGGAGGCGTACTGCACTGACTCGGGGATTTGTGCAGGTTCCTCGTGCTCTCTGTGAACGATGGCGTACACCTGTCCCTCGGCGGGGTCTCCAGGGGCCACTTTACCCCTCCCTTGCTGGACGGATGCGTATACGACCGGGGCCTGCTTTGACGGATGTCTTTTACTCACAGCGTAGGGTACTGGTTTCTTAGGAGGCGCCTTGCCATTTTCAACCGGACGCGGCTCTGTAGGTGACGAGGCACCTGCTGGAGTTGCTCGCTCTCGATCTTTGTCTGACGGGGTTAGTCTCCCCCTCCGACGTTGGAGAACTAACACCAGAAGCACGACGGCGACGATGGCAAGTATGACGATCAGGACCACGGCAACAGCAACTCCCGCAGTCACAGCTGCAGGTTTTACGGTCGTTGAGGATTCCCCGCTGTCATCGGTAGTGTGATGAGGTAAGACAGCCGTGGTCGCAGAAGTTACAGACAGTGGGCCAATTTGACAAAGGAGGGTCACTTCAGGAAAGCCAAGTGCCACCGACGAACAGTTAAATGTCTCACTGTCTTCGGCGGTGGTGACTGATGTTGTCAACTGGGAGCCTGAGCCGGTATTAAGGGAGCTGGAAGCCCAGTTCTCCAGAACGCCACTTCCAGCTCTGGTGACGACTAGTGCCGTAGTGTTCGCCGTGACACTGCAGTAAATCGTGCTCCCTTCATACAAGGATGCGGCCCCGCTCGGCGAGCAAGTGGGGAAGACTTTGGCAGGGTAGACGGTCAAGATAGTCTGTGCGCTGGAAATGACCCCGTAGCTGTTTGAGGAACGTATCTCCAACACCCTGCAGGTGTACATTCCATTGTGACTTTGGTTAGCGGGTTTGATGACGATATTGTGGACCTCGGGCACGGTCAGAGGGTCGCTGCTGGCGTTGTTGACCACCGAGTACACAGGGTCAGTAACCCGGCTGTCCAGCTCACCCATCCAGGTGAGAATTTTGGCTTCCTCCGGGAACACGACCGACCAGCTCAGGAACTGAATGGCCGGCTGCAAGCCGAAGACCTCGCAGCGAAGTGTCACAGCATCCCCCTCGCGTGGCTGGGAGGTGGACTCTGGCTGGATGCTGACTGTCGTGGTCAGGGCTGAGACTGGCCACGTTACGAGCGTTAGCATGATGCAGCTCAGAGCACACCCGTAAAGAACGTTAAAAGTATTCGATGGATGGGCCATAGTAATACACGCCGAAGCTAATATCGAGTCCACCACACAGGTTTTTAACCACCCCAGGAAAAACTGCGGTTGTTATTTTAAGATGGCAAACAGACAACGAAAAAGAAAATACAAGCAGTTTCTTGCATCTGAGCCACAACGTGATGCTCACAAATATTATCAATTAAAAGAGCAGATGGAATCAAGACAGTCAATCGTTCATCTTTGTGGTCCGATGCACGGCAAATTTCCCCAGCGTTTCTGGTTCAGTTCACCCGCATCTGATGTCCCTTTCACTATATGGATGAATCGAGATCTCTTACCTCTTTACAGATGACAAACTGAACTCTTTCGTTCTACAATTCCATCCAGCACAATGTCGCCTTTCTTGGCATCTTATGATACGAAATAAGATTACTCATGTTCTGCCCTGCGTACACACGTACCGTATACCTCATACCTGTTATGATGCAGAAAACCTTATTCTTAATAGGCAGTAGGCCGTCCCATGTTATGCGTCAGGCTCGTGTCTGCTGCGAATTATAATTATAAGGCATCCAAGGAGAAATCATGTCTCTCACTGGCGATGGCTTGTGTGGGAGATGGGGACCATCTCGATGTCTGAAAGAAACAACGGGAAGTAACAAGATGCGCCACAGTTGCAATATTTTTGTCGTCTATTTCCGTGTTCTGGTCTTAAGATCTATGACGTGTCACTTCGTTCGCTGCCCACTGCAAAGCACTGCAAGGCCATCGACCACTCGTCAGCGCACTCCTTTTGTGAAAGACTAGTCAACTGGAAAGCAGACAGGGCCGTGGTTATACCCATGTAGGAGAAAGCCCAAGGAATGCGGGATTGAGACTATTCTTATGCTAATCACCTTGGGTAATTTGATTCAGCTTGACTGTGTAAAGGCATCTTTTTTCTTACCTCCATGGTTTAATAAAGGGTTTCGTGCCTGATCGAAATATTACGTAGGCCTATATACATGTATTTGGGACACACGTCTCAAATGGCAAGCTCTAATTTGCAAATATCAGTCCGGAATATCCTTCGATCAGCGCGTTGAGATGAAGTAGAATGTTGCGGGCGGAAAGTTTTTCTTTGCTTCGTTTGAAAACATGGTCAGGTAGTAAACTGCTCGTGTCCATACCATATTTCGTCCAACTGGAAAAAACCAAACCATTTACATCAGGGCCTGGGGGGGGGCTTTATTTTGGAGTTTATTTTATTTTGAGCCACAGCCATTACAAACCAAAATGCCGAACTGGTGACGAAAGCGTGCATTATTCCCAAGGGCCTAGCGTGCACTCCGTGTTGATTTCAAACATCATTTCCTGATTGTGCCATGCTCAAAGGCAGACGTAAAGCTCGGTGAGCCAAGACAAAGTCTACACAGGGAGAGCGAATGCAATTGTGCTCAACTGAGATTTCTCTTTGAATCATTGCATCAGAGTTTACACTTGTTACAATTGAAATGGACGTTAATATTGAGAGTAAATTAAAAGAATTAAAACATTAAAGCAAAGATTAATAAATACATGCATTTCGTTATAGAGCATTCCCCAGCGTCCATATGTGCCATTATACTTATGTCGCTTCCCTTTATTTTAATTTCTTCATATCTAAACAAAACAAATTACATGTAAGCCTATTCGCTCTTTGCACACTGCCGCCATAGGCATGCAGAGCCTCGATTATTCACAGAAGTGATTCCCCGTATACAGCTTAGTAATTCTGCGCATGCTGTGTAGCTCTTATACAGTTTGATAGGACAATATTTGGAAACCTGCGTAGACGCATTCTGACGTGACTCTACGAGCTGTCAAATCGAGGCTCTGCATGCCTATGGCGGTAGCATGCAAAGTGCGAATACTCCATTATAAGTTGTAAGTGCATTTACTGGTATTTTATCGTGGTGAAATTGGGTCTGAAAATGATTAAATGGTCATTGCATCGAAATAACTACAGGTGCATGTACTTTGAATCTGTAATATTAATTACGTATCGATGGTTAGTTAACTTTAGTTTTTAAGGAAAAATGATGGGATTATTTGATTCTAATACATGTTACCTTAAATTAAATTTTGATAATTATGCATCTAAAATAAAAGAGATAGTCCCCGTCGAAAAATACATGTACACGACAGTCGGTACAGTGTAATAAATACCCCGACAATGCTTTCATAAAATTACCAACCTTGTATCCAGTGATGAATTACAAACTTAACTAACGTGTGAGGTACAATAGCCTTTGTCATTTACGTAGAAAAGTACTATGACTCATCGTGCGACGGCCTTCAGAGTTATAAGAGCGCGTAGGAACTTCAGGGAGTATTCTGCTTAATCATTCATATTCCCCAGAAAAGTTGGTTGCCAATCACCCTGACCGCGCACTTGGTGACACTACCGACCCAATTTGAGTGTTCGGGTGTGAATTAAGGGCTCCGGATATCTTTCTTCTAATTATTTTTGACCGTGACTGACTGATTCGTTCGACATTGCCAACGATAAAACATCGACAGCAAAGAAACCACCTTTGAACAATGCAGATTTATCACAGGACTTGTCGCAAATTAGTATGAGTAAAACCTTTGCTTAATGGTAAAATCTTAGCAATTATAGCTTTTCTTATGGGCGGTACTTGGATATGTATATCTTTTTTTCAGCTGTTGCACTGAAACATCCAGCATTGCTTAGTTAATCACAAAGATAAGTGGTTATTTTGGGGTTTGGTTGTAGACAAATTCTTTCTCATATAAATACTTCAACTGTATTGGAGAGAGGTTTGGGATCTGTGGTCATCAAGCTTGCACTTTATGGTAGTCAACTCTCTCTGTCTCCGAAGGACGTTTGCGTTTCCTGCGTTCAAGGACGAAGGCCACTATGGTGATTACAAGTACAGTGATAACCAGGATCACCAGAAAGGCGGTAAGCGCCCTGGAGCTGACCGGTGCCTTGGGTTTAGGGGAAGGCGACTCTGTAGCTGAGTTGGGAGACTTCTCCGCCTGGGGAGGATCAGGAACTGGTGGCTTGGCATTAGCATCTAGTGGCTTGGTGAGAGTAAGGGGCGAGTCGCTGGGGGAAAACTCCGACACTGGTGCACCGGCAGACTGGGTTGGGCGGCTGCCAGGCGTAGTTGGAGATGCTCCAGGAGCATCGGGTGTAGGGGATTTGGGAGGTGGATTTGTGGAGATGTCCTGGGTAGATTCTGCCGTTGTCGTGAGGGAGGGCACTGAGAGTAAGGACAGCGGTCCGATCTGGCAAGTCAAGGTTACGTCTGGAAAGCCGGCAGGGACCGAAGAACAGTTGTAGGTCACTCTGTCGTCTGTGGAGGAAACAGATGAAATAAGTCTTATTCCCGGACTCAGCTTCTCAGCGTTCCAATATTCTTCATTATCGCTACTGGCTTTGGTAACTCTAACATTCAAAACGTCTGTCGTGACAGAGCAAGACATCTGCGCCCCTTCCGAAACTTCCGCAGCACCGCTTGGGGAGCAAGACGGGAACGCGCCGGCGGGGTAAACGCTGATGTCGATCCGAGCTTCAGTGAGAACGACGGACTTCCAGGTCTGCGTCTGCATGACCCTGCACTTGTACGCGCCGCTGTGGCTTGTTCCCACCGGGTTGATGACCAGGTTGTGGACCACGACACCGTCGGTGTTGCTGTTCACAACGGAGTAGCTCGGATCATCCACGGTGCTGTAGATCTCGGCTTCCCACGTCAAAACCTGGGGCGCGCGCGACAGAAATGCTGACCAACTCAGGAACTGCGTGACCGGGTTCAAGTCCCTGACCTCGCAGCGGAGAGTCACCACACCCCCCTCCCGTAGTTGGGAGGGGGGACCCGGTTGGACGCTGACGTTCACACTCTGGGCAAGAACGTACACCACAGAAGACAAGATGACGAAGAGGAAGTAGCAAAGAAGATTAGAGCTTCTAGACGTTGATGCACTGGCCATATCCATTGCTGTAACACTAACAGTACACTGCAGTTGGTATTGTTACTTACTGTATTCTCATGAAGCGAAGCATTAGAAGCAGTTATGGAGGTCTCGATCATTGCACTACATGCCTTCCATTGCAACACAAAAAGGACACAAATGCCTGGCTACTGTTCCCCTCAAGCCGTACGTTATTTTACAGGACGATAAGCAAACGTGCTTCCCTAATCTATTGTCTGTATGTACGATGCGTCTTCTCTACCGATATATGGACCCTGCTACATATAGCAAGGAAATGGTTACGTGGATAGTGCACTGCGATAATTTCGTGCGTTGTGCTAGGAATCAATGCCATCTGGGCGGAGAGCACTGACCGTTACTTCGGCCCCTTGAAGAAAACAGAGTCCAAACGTAACCCAACCGAGTCGCTTTATACGGGTACACCTATCTACACTGTACATGTACACGTGCATACCGGCTGAAAGCAAAAGATGCTCACATTAGTCCGTTGCGTAACAGGACTGGATTCATATGTAATCGGGGCCACAATTATCAACAAGACCGTACGCATCTAATGACAGCAGCTTGTTACCTGTCCTGGTGGTTAACCCTTATGCTCGAGAAGAGTCCAGAAACAGTCCCAATTGCAATGTAAAGAACAGGGTCGGCAAGTGAACAGAACCGCTTCGTGACCAGCATGTTTAAATGGTGCAAAATACGCTGTATACTGGTACTTCTTTCCTTCGATCTTGGAAACGGACAATGTTATGTATTGATCAATGATCAATGGGAAGAAAGGGGCCGACTCTCTCTAATTTGGGAAGCAGGGACATTTTTTTAAGATGATGGCACTGCCTGACACCCCCCGGCTAAAAAACTACTCATTAGTAAAAAAAAAACATATATATAGGGACCCATAAGGTTTTAATAGTATGAGCTCGATGAGGACAGAAGGGATCGTACTGTAAAGTGAAATCATCGCTGTGCAAACTGACGTTTCACTTCCTGTGGTTTTTCATACAGTTGTATACATGTTTGTTTCAATCTGTTAGTACATGTATTTAAAACCCAGCAAACCTTCAGTAAGGATTAATATGATAAAAATAATATCGGAACAAAGCTCGCACCAAAAGGGAGCGACCAACGCACCGACTGATACATCTCCCCAACAGCTGCCCTATTATGTATGTATCGTGCACGAACTAATTCCGCAAGAAGTAGATAACAAAGCTACCCGTCGTCTCATCATTAGCGTGGGTCAATTGCTGTGCAACTCGTCTGCCGATTTCCATTACATCGTATCCTTGCCACGTGCATCTGTTTAGGAGAACCAACGTCAGGTGCACGCAAGTAAACTTGACAGTGCGGGGTTACTCAACCTGCCAAATCCGGCAGTGTACTGCTTTTCCCCACACAGGAATAGTTTGCCCTGCCTGATTCCGTGGTTCTTGCATCTGTAATTCTAATGTCGAGTCATATATTTACCTTTGGGAATTGACTACATGTGTATCTTGCCGACAGGGGGAAAATCTACCCCTGCTGGGCGATCCTGAAACCTGGTATAAAGTGGTGTTTTAATGTTGGTATATTTAGCACGATGCATAGTACGCATATATAGCTCATACCTGGTTGCAATCTCTGCTCGATAGCATGAGACTTGTGGGAACGACAAAACAGTCTTATATATCTCGCCACTCAGCATTATCATTTTTGCAATAAATGTCACATTTTTTTGAATGTCGGTATAATCGGGAGATGCAACTAAGTTCTTAGCATGAAAGTGGGTCTTCTCACCTGGCTGCGGCGCCTGGGGTGAACCTTCAAACATCTTGTCATCCACCTCGAGCAGAAAAGAGTCACGTTAGTGGGGAATGTTCGTTTTTTTTGGTATAGCGATGCGACCGTAACGCGTGCATGTCATAGTCCTTCGTGAACCGTCGAAGTGCAGCCTTCGTTGCTCTGAAAATTGCTCATAGCTGAGGACTTGACATTTGAATATATTCTGGAAAAAGTCTCCGACTCGACTTTGTGTCTAGTTGTATTCTGTATTATTTCGCCTTTTTTAAAGTGAGCGACGCAGAAGGAAAAAAAGTACTTTATGGTAATACAAATTTGCTCTCTGGGATTAAAAATACTGTAACAAGTAGCTTGCCAAACGGATCAGTCGCTGATCATCTGGTTCGCGATCGCATTAGAAGGGAAAAAAAGTCAATGCCAGTTAAAGACCGAATGTCGGCCATATTCTGATTCCCACACAAAACTTGGGAGAGACACGGAAAGAAGAGAATCCTGTTTTCTTCGGTGGCCATGACCGCCGATATACTGGCTGGCCTTGATAATTAATTGAGGCACAGCAATGGCATCCTGATCACAAGAACCCTCGGAGACCAGGGCACTAATTCCGAGGAAATTATTCTCGACGTGGCCGAATGACGACGTAATTGTACTTGTCATTTACACCCATCCCAAGGACGATTGGGACGCAAGAGCTCTCAAGCCACCGCCAAAGAGGTGACGTGGTATTTGCTGTAAGTTCCTACATTCTGCTGCCCCGTCTCCAAGTTGTCACTCCGACAATGTACATGCATCAGAAAACGTCTCGTATTTGGTTGAATAATTGAAAACAAAGTAATCAGTGCACTGGTACTCTTCATAAGGTTTGCTGGCATCACAGCAAGTGATGCCGTGACAAAATAAAAGCAAAGGTCAATTTTGTTGGATAAGTGGAATTTGGGAGCACGGACGACATATACAAAAATCTGGGCTCGCGATGCCTTCGTTCCAACTAACTTGAAGCCGCTAGCGAACGAACGAATTTGGTTAACAATAGCAAGTCAGCCTTGTATGACATATGTACTGGGCACGGTAAGATGGCCACCACTTGCTTCATTGACGTCTATGAACTTATTTAGGAAATTATTATTATTATTAAATTAGATTTATAAAGCGCTCATTCCTAAACTGTTCAAGAGCGCATTACAATATAAAAAAATTAACAATATACAAGGATATATAGAATAAAAAAGACTAAACAAAATTACAACCGCCGAAAATGTTTTAAATTAATTAAACTCTTTCTTAAAAAGACAAGTTTTTAACAATGATTTAAAAGTGATAATACTGCTAGCACACCTAATACGACATGGGAGTTTATTCCAGAGATACGGAGTGCAATATTCAAAGGCTCGGTCCCCAAGGGTGGCCTTACGCCAACCCACAGGATAATTGAGGAAGGCACCGTCACCAGAACTACGAAGATGATAACGGTCTGAGACTTCACAGAAACAAGTTGAGTTAAATATGGAGGGGCTAGGTAATGTAAGACTTTGTATGTCATCAGCAAAATTTTAAATTCAATTCTATATAAAACCGGAAGCCAATGTAAATCAATAAGAAGAGGAGTGTTTTGACAAAATTTCGATGTCTTATAAACGAGTCGAGCACAAGCACTCTGCACTCCCTGAAGTTGGTTAATTTGTGTGTTGAGCAAA